TCCTTAGTTGCCCTGGCAGTGTGTTTCGGGTCGTTGTCATGCTGGAAGACCCAGCCACGACCCATCTTCAATGCTCTTACTGAGGGAAGATCTTGCGATACATGGCCCCATCCATCCTCCCCTCAATACGGTGCAGTCGTCCTGTCCCCTTTGCAGAAAAGCATCCCCAAAGAATGATGTTTCCACCTCCATGCTTCACGGTTGGGATGGTGTTCTTGGGGTTGTACTCATCCTTCTTCTTCCTCCAAACACGGCGAGTGGAGTTTAGACCAAAAAGCTATATTTTTGTCTCATCAGACCACATGACCTTCTCCCATTCCTCCTCTGGATCATCCAGATGGTCATTGGCGAACTTCAGACGGGCCTGGACATGCGCTGGCTTGAGCAGGGGGACCTTGCGTGCGCTGCAGGATTTTAATCCATGACGGCGTAGTGTGTTACTAATGGTTTTCTTTGAGACTGTGGTCCCAGCTCTCTTCAGGTCATTGACCAGGTCCTGCCGTGTAGTTCTGGGCTGATCCCTCACCTTCCTCATGATCATTGATGCCCCACGAGGTGAGATCTTGCATGGAGACCCAGACCGAGGGTGATTGACCGTCATCTTGAACTTCTTCCATTTTCTAATAATTGCGCCAACAGTTGTTGCCTTCTCACCAAGCTGATTGCCTATTGTCCTGTAGCCCATCCCAGCCTTGTGCAGGTCTACAATTTTATCCCTGATGTCCTTACACAGCTCTCTGGTCTTGGCCATTGTGGAGAGGTTGGAGTCTGTTTGATTGAGTGTGTGGACAGGTGTCTTTTATACAGGTAACGAGTTCAAACAGGTGCAGTTAATACAGGTAATGAGTGGAGAACAGGAGGGCACCTTAAAGAAAAACGAACAGGTCTGTGAGAGCCGGAATTCTTACTGGTTGGTAGGTGATCAAATACATATGTCATGCAATAAAATGCAAATTAATTACTTAAAAATCATACAATGTTATTTTCTGGATTTTTGTTTTAGATTCCGTCTCTCACAGTTGAAATGTACCTATGATAAAAATGACAGACCTCTACATGCTTTGTAAGTAGGAAAACCTGCAAAATTGGCAGTGTATCAAATACTTGTTCTCCCCACTGTATATATTCCGAAATAAAGAAATTATCTCATTCCAATCAATTTTTATAGAAAGTTAGCAAAAATAGATAAGATCTTGTTACCATGGAAAGGAAAATACCTGTGTATTTGTGGAAAATTGCCCTGATTAACTCTTTAGTCATAACCTAGTTTACCTACTTGCGTACTCCTAGCGACCTGTTTAACCCTCCCGTTGTCCTGTCCGGGTCAAAAAGACCCAGGCTACGTGTTAGAGTGAGTGGCTGTATAAACCCTAGCGTTGTCCAGTCCTGTCCTGTCCTGGCTGGGGTCAAAAAGACCCAGGCTACGTGTCAGTGCCTAGGTGTTAGAGCGAGTGGCTGTATAACCCCTAGCGTTGTCCTTTCCGGGGTCAAAAAGACCCAGGCTACGTGTCAGAGCCTAGGTGTTAGAGCGAGTGGCTGTATGACCCCTCCTGCTGTCCTATCCGGGTCAAAAAGACCCAGGCTACGTGTCAGAGCCTAGGTGTTAGAGCGAGTGGCTGTATGACCCCTAGCGTTGTCCTGTCCTGTCCTGGCTGGGGTCAAAACGACCCAGGCTACGTGTTAGAGCCTACGTGTTAGAGCCTAGGTGTAAGAGCGAGTGGCTGTATAACCCCTAGCGTTGTCCTGTCTTGTCCGGGGTCAAAAAGACCCAGGCTACGTGTCAGTGCCTATGTGTTAGAGCGAGTGGCTGTATAACCCCTAGCGTTGTCCTGTCCTGACCGGGGTCAAAATGACACAGGCTACGTTTCAGAGCCTAGGTGTTAGAGCCTAGGTGTTAGAGTGAGTGGCTGTATAACCCCTAGCGTTGTCCTGTCCTGACCGGGGTCAAAATGACCCAGGCTACGTGTCAGAGCCTAGGTGTTAGAGCCTAGGTGTTAGAGCGAGTGGCTGTATAGCCCCTAGCGTTGTCCTGTCCGGGTCAAAAAGACCCAGGCTACGTGTTAGAGCGAGTGGCTGTATAACCCCTAGCCTTGTCCTGTCTTGTCCGGGGTCAAAAAGACCCAGGCTACGTGTTAGAGTGTTAGAGCGAGTGGCTGTATAACCCCTAGCGTTGTCCTGTCCTGGCTGGGGTCAAACGACCCAGGCTACGTGTCAGTGCCTATGTGTTAGAGCTAGTGGCTGTATATCTCCTCCCGCTGTCCTGTCCTGTCCTGTCCGGGTCAAAAGGACCCAGGCTACGTGTCAGAGCCTAGGTGTTAGAGCTAGTGGCTGTATATCCCCTCCCGCTGTCCTGTCCGGGTCAAAAAGACCCAGGCTACGTGTTAGAGTGTTAGAGCGAGTGGCGACAACGTCCTGTGCTGCGAACGGGACCCTTGCAAATCAAATCAAATCAAATTGTATTGGTCACATTGTAGGTACAGACATTACAGTGAAATGCTTACTTTCTAAAGAATCTGGTGATTTCCTTGTAATATTGTAGGTATCACTACTCGACAATGCTCGAAACCCAAGATGTCCATTTCCTCAACAAGTGAATATATGTCATCTGCTCTTCAGCTTGCTGACAATTGTACATCTCCGCACGTGTTTCATTCTGACAGTCTGTCAACTTGTATACTTGCGGTACAATATTTTCGGTTGTCGTGAAATCACAAGGTATGCGTAGGCTCGAACGGATCCCCGTCATGGCGTATTCTTTGGGGGCAACAGAAAAGCCTTGAAATATCCAGGCGACTTTCTTCATCAGAAGTGTCTGTTCCTCATCTGAGAGATCTGTCATGTGGACACCGCTACACACGGAAGAGATATCGCATGGCATTTGCCGATATGTCCGATATGTCAACAAATGGTCTCGGACGTGGCTGTGACGAACGTCCATGTCCCACATGTCGTAGTACAAAGCACAAGTACAAGACTCGCTGTCGTCGAAACCGGTCAACATTGCACAGGGACACCATCCCACAGCTTCACGGTGTATCTTCTGCAAATGGTCCTGGTGTGTCACCATGATGTGTGACACTGCACCGTGGTAAAACCACAAGAGCAGAGCCTGTCCTACGACCCGAACGAGCCACAGCTCATAACTCAACAGACTATATTTCGGTTCGACAAATAGTCTTACCTCCAGTTTGTTGTTGGGCATGACCGAGAGGCTTTTCACCGTGTACCCGAGAAGTATGGGTATGTTCTTCACTACTCGATTGAACGCAGAATAGATGTCGTTGAAGTTGATCGTGCTCAGATTCAGTCGAGTCGACCTGCCGATGCCCAGACCGATCACAGTGACGGTGGTGTTGTCGGTAGTTACGTGACTGGAGTCCGTGTGTATGTCAAACACTGCAGTGATGCAGCAAGAATCCCCCTTCACGTTTTCTGTGTTCTGGAAAGTCGACATAGCTTCGATCGATGTTGTCTGTGAGACACGAACCTGTTTTGATGCAGTGCTCAGAAGCTTCTCTGGTATATTGTGGATTTGACCACTCCCATAAAAAGAATTAATTATATTATATTCATTTATTTATTTGTTAATTTTTCTCAAATTATACCTTTGTGATTAGTTTTAAAACATGACATTTTTAATAGTAGTTGTTATTTTTGTAAACATAGATCATGGTTTCGGCTACATACAAGCAATCGTGGTGTCTACGTAGACATCAAGTTATTCGATTCAAAACCTATTCTGTGCTGCCCATGTTCTATTCCTTCGACACACATCGTCGCTATTCTGACATATCGGCAATCATGAGTTTGCGTTCCACGCCATTCCTTGAGTGCGATACAGCTAGTCCAGAAAGTGTCTCTGTGGGTTTGGGAGAAATTAACCCTCCCGTTGTCCTGTCCGGGTCAAAAAGACCCAGGCTACGTGTTAGAGTGAGTGGCTGTATAACCCCTAGCGTTGTCCAGTCCAGTCCTGTCCTGGCTGGGGTCAAAACGACCCAGGCTATGTGTTAGAGCCTACGTGTTAGAGCGAGTGGCTGTATAACCCCTCCCGTTGTCCTGTCTTGTCCGGGGTCAAAAAGACCCAGGCTACGTGTCAGTGCCTATGTGTTAGAGCTAGTGGCTGTATATCTCCTCCCGCTGTCCTGTCCTGTCCTGTCCGGGTCAAAAGGACCCAGGCTACGTGTCAGAGCCTAGGTGTTAGAGCTAGTGGCTGTATATCCCCTCCCGCTGTCCTGTCCGGGTCAAAAAGACCCAGGCTACGTGTCAGTGCCTACGTGTTAGAGCTAGTGGCTGTATATCTCCTCCCGCTGTCCTGTCCTGGCTGGGGTCAAAAAGACCCAGGCTACGTGTTAGAGTGTTAGAGCGAGTGGCTGTATATCCCCTCCCGCTGTCCTGTCCGGGTCAAAAAGACCCAGGCTACCTGTCAGTGCCTATGTGTTAGAGCGAGTGGCTGTATAACCCCTAGCGTTGTCCTGTCTTGTCCGGGGTCAAAAAGACCCAGGCTACGTGTCAGTGCCTAGGTGTTAGAGCTAGTGGCTGTATATCCCCTCCCGCTGTCCTGACCGGGTCAAAAAGACCCAGGCTACGTGTCAGAGTGTTAGAGCGAGTGGCTGTATAACCCCTAGCGTTGTCCTGTCTTGTCCTGCCCGGGGTCAAAAACGACCCAGGCTACACGTTAGAGGCATAAGCTCTGAGCCAGAGGTACTAGGTAAGCCGTAAACAAACACCAACACCAAGAACAACTACAACTACAACTACAACTACTACAACAACTACTACAACTACTACTACAACTACTACTACAACTACTACAACTACTACTACAACTACTACTACAACAACTACTACAACAACTACTACTACTACTACTACTACTACTACTACTACTACTACTACTACTACTACTACTACTACTACTAATATTGCCTCCGTGGCATGTCCGGACACGTCCCGAAGAGAGAGGTCTTGGGGACTTCCCCAGCCTGGGTGCCGAAGCTATTATGAGTGCTGTGCGTTTCACGGCCAAACAGGTCCTAGAACATATATTTTCCAATGACTCTGACTGCGACGAGGAAGCGGACGAGGAAGCGTCCGAAGAAGAAGACGGGGAGGAATACAACCCAGAGGACGAGGAGACCACAGAGGACGACGACTACGACGCCGCAGTCGCCGCCGCCGCCGAGGACGAGGACGATGTCCAAGTAGAAGAAGGTCAAGGCGTAGAAGACGAACGAGACGATGACGACGACCACAACGACGACGACGACGACCAACAAGAAGAAGAAGAACAAGGAGAAGAACAAGGGGAAGGTGAAGGTGAAGGAGAGCGAGGAGACCGCCGCCGCTGCCGCCGCCGCATCAGCCCCAGAACACAACACGATATCCCTCGAGTGGAAAGAGAGACATTCGTGTCGAGAAACGGCCAAATCCAATGGTGCTCGGTGCCCTGTGACAACAATCGGGGCGTCGGAGGGGCCGCCGCAGCGGCAAAAAGTAACAGGCCGGTTGCTGAGGTGCCGGAGGACATGAGGCCCGGGCCTACTAGGCAGGCCGTAGGCCAAGCCCGCGACATCCTCTCCACGTTCCGCTTGTCTTTCACACCGGAGATAGAAGACATCATCCTGGAGATGACCAATCTGGAGGGCGTTCGAAAATACGGAGCCCGAGGCGACGGCGACGGCTGCGGCGGCGACGACGACCACCGCCACTACGCCGACGACCACGACGACCACGACCGCGACCGCGGCGGCCGCTGGAAAGCGATGGACTCCACAGACCTGCGAGCCTACGTAGGGCTGCTAATCCTAGCCGGCGTGTACAGGTCCCGAGGCAAAGCAGCCTCTAGTCTCTGGGACGCCGAGAGCGGAAGGACCATTTTCCGCGCAACCATGCCGCTCAAAGTCTTTCACGCTTACTCGAGACTCCTTCGCTTCGACGACCGCCAGACCAGAGCCGAGAGACGCGCAGCAGGCGGCGGTGACAAACTTGCGGCCGTGAGAGAGGTCTGGGACAAGTGGGTCGAGAGGCTGCCGCTCCTCTACAACCCCGGGCCCGACGTGACGGTGGACGAGCAACTGGTCCCTTTCAGAGGTGTGCCGGGCCAACAACACCGTACAAGAGCACAACAACACTGTACACAACACAACACAACACAACACAACACGCTAAAGCTAATCTCTTCTCTTTCCTTCCTCTCCTCTCTCTCTCTCTCTCCTCCAGGCCGATGTCCTTTCCGCCAGTATATTCCAAGCAAGCCGGCCAAATACGGCATCAAGACCTGGGTGGCCTGCGACTCCAAATCCAGCTACGCCTGGAAGATGCAGGTCTACACCGGGAAGGCCACATGCGGAGGCCCCGAGAAGAACCAGGGGATGAGGGTCGTGCTCGATTTGACGCAGGGACTCAGGGGTCACAACGTCACCTGCGACAATTTCTTCACCTCATACGAGCTCGCGCGCCAGCTCCTGAGGAGGAACGTCACCGTGGTCGGCACAGTCAGAAAGAACAAGCCAGAGCTCCCGCAGGCGCTGCTCGCCTCAAAGGACAGGCTCCTCTTCTCCTCCAAGTTCGCCTTCACGCCCACCACCGCTCTAGTGTCCTACCTGCCAAAGAAAAACAAGAACGTCTTACTCCTGAGCACGCTGCACACCGAGGCTCACGTTAGCCGTCGCCAGGACAAGAAGCCGGCCATCGTCCTAGACTACAACAGCAACAAGGGAGGTGTGGACAACCTGGACAAGGTGATTGAAACCTACAGCTGCAGGAGGATGACCACGCGCTGGCCCCTGGTCATCTTCCACAACATCCTTGACGTGTCCTCTTACAACGCTTTTGTCATATGGCGAGAGCTCAACCCTACTTGGATGCCTGGTAAGCGAAACAAGAGGAGGGTGTTCCTCGAGCAGCTGGGAAAGGCACTAGTGACTCCGTTCATACAAAGAAGCCTCTGCGGCGCTCGTCAAAGCTGTTCAGAGGGCAACGTATCGTGATCAGCCCCGGGATCACGCCCCCGCAGCACCAGACCACGCACCGGCCCAAGCACCCGACCCCGCACAACCCAGTAAGAGGAAGAGCTGTCAGGTCTGCCCCACAAAGAAGGACTGTAAAACACACACGGTGTGCACCAGGTGTAACAAATACATCTGCAAAGGCTGTTCGCACGCATACTGTCCCACATGTTCCAATTGGGCCTTTAGTGAGAGGGGGACAGTTCGACCCGGAGGGCACGGCGTGTGTACAGAATACCAGGACAACGGGAGGGTTAAAAAAGTAAATGAGCAAAAAAGATTCAATTTTATTTGGAATGGCAAGCCAGACAAAATTAAAAGGGCCTATTTATATAATGAATATGAATTCGGAGGGCAGAAGTGATTAAATATCAAAGCATTAGACCTCTCACTAAAGGCGTCAATCATACAAAAGTTATACTTAAATCCGAACTGGTTCTCTAGCAAATTAGTAAGAATGTCTCACCCCATGTTCAAGAATGGCCTTTTTCCCTTTAACTTTTGTGAAACAGCATACTTAAAAATATATGACAAATAGAAATCAAACTGGATGGACATCAGAAATAGATGGTAGAGGTTGAGGGTAGAGGGACGACAGGATTAAAAACAAACAAAATATAACTATTGTAGATTAGATTGTGTCCGTAAAATGTATATAGTATGTACAGTGAGGGAAAAAAGTATTTGATCCCCTGCTGATTTTGTACGTTTGCCCACTGACAAAGAAATTATCAATCTATAATTTTAATGGTAGGTTTATTTGAACATTGAGAGACAGAATAACAACAAACAAATCCAGAAAAACGCATGTCAAAAATGTTATAAATTGATTTACATTTTAATGAGGGAAATAAGTATTTGACCCCTCTGCAAAACATGACTTAGTACTTGGTGGCAAAACCCTTGTTGGCAATCACAGAGGTCAGACGTTTCTTGTAGTTGGTCACCAGGTTTGCACACATCTCATGAGGGATTCTGTCCCACTCCTCTTTGCAGTTCTTCTCCAAGTCATTAAGGTTTCGAGGCTGACGTTTGGCAACTCGAACCTTCAGCTCCCTACACAGATTTTTTAAAATGGGATTAAGGTCTGGAGACTGGCTAGGCCACTCCAGGACCTTAATGTGCTTCTTCTTGAACCACTGCTTTGTTGCCTTGGCCGTGTGTTTTGGGTCATTGTCATGCTGGAATACCCATCCACGACCCATTTTCAATGCCCTGGCTGAGGGAAGGAGGTTCTCACCCAAGATTTGACGGTACATGGCCCCTTCCATTGTCCCTTTGATGCATTGAAGTTGTCCTGTCCCCTTAGCAGAAAAACACCCCCAAAGCATAATGTTTCCACCTCTATGTTTGACGGTGGGGATGGTGTTCTTGGGATCATAGGCAGCATTCTTCCTCCTCCAACCACGGCGAGTTGAGTTGATGCCAAAGAGCTCGATTTTGGTCTCATCTGACCACAACACTTTCACCCAGTTCTCATCTGAATCATTCAGATGTTAATTGGCAAACTTCAGACGGACCTGTATATGTGCTTTCTTGAGCCGGGGGACCTTGCGGGCGCTGCAAGATGTCAGTCCTTGACGGCGTAGTGTGTTACCAATTGTTTTCTTGGTGACTATGGTCCCAGCTGCCTTGAGATCATTGACAAGATCTTCCCGTGTAGTTCTAGGCTGATTCCTCACCGTTCTCATGATCATTGCAACTCCATGAGGTGAGAACTTGCATGGAGCCCCAGGCAGAGGGAGATTGACAGTTATTTTGCACCAACTGTTGTCACCTTCTCAACAAACTGCTTGGCGATGGTCTTGTAGCCCATTCCAGCCATGTGTAGGTCTACAATCTTGTCCCTGACATCCTTGGAGAGCTCTTTGGTCTTGGCCATGGTGGAGAGTTTGGAATCTGATTGATTGATTGCCTCTGTGTCAGAAAAAAAACGTTTTAAAATGTTGCTACATAAGTTCGAATCAAGGCGGTATATTGGATAGCAGATGTCCGATTTTTTTCAGCCCAAATACACGCACGAATAATGCATTATGTGACCAAATTCACATTCCTTATTCTCCAGACCACGTTATGCTATTTAGAACAGTTAGCCACTGTGAACCCTTATTACTGCCCCTCACAGGACATTTAGAACACAACAACATGACTGAATCATTAAAGTAGTTACAGAACCAAGCCTTATCGGCAGGAACTGCCTCTCAAGGACCTAGAACAGGAAGTGAGACCACACAGGCTCAGAAAATGGCACCTACTGTTTTCACTTGGGATTTCTGTCCATCATCTATCCATTTAACCCCTACCACCTCACAACACACATGCACAGGTGTGCACACATACACACACACTCACACTGATGCCTATGGAGGGCCAGGGCAACCACTCGCTCACCCTCTCCCTAGGGCAGGCTGTCCCTGTCCCTTAGCCCCTGGGGATAAGAGGCTGCTTTGTTGACATGGCCTGCCAGGTGTTATCAGTCACTTCCAGGGATGGAGGGAGGGTACAGCTGCTGGATCACCTCACCCTGACACCCTGGGGGTCCCCAGGCCTAAAGACACCCAGAGGGGATTATACACTGTTCGACAGGATCATCCATGGGCATTACAAACAGGGGTGACACCATATTATCACAGGGGCAGGAGGAGGAAGTTTAGCTATAGGCTACGCACACAGGACCTAGAGGACCCTTCAACTTGTAGCCATGGTTAGCATCTGTCATTTTACATTGCAGGACATAGACACTATGGGCTACTTTCTATTCTAATAAATTCCATTTTCTATTCTCCCTTGCAGTGCACAAAGCTCTTCCCAAAATAACCAGTGTTAAAGTGGTATGTGTGCCGATGTCGATGTATAATGTGGGCTTGAAAGGGCTTGACAGTCTAATCATGAGTCATTAATTTGAGCACCACAGGTGGTTAACCTCTGGACTTCACTAAGCGTCTATAGAGACATGAGCTTAAGAAGAGTGCATTATTCTTTGTGATAATGTCTTAAGGTTTTCATAATCCTTGAGCTAATGAAAGGCTATATTTCAACCGATAGATGTTATCGTGGTGACATGAGGGAACCATAGCATAGGACACTAAGCACCCAGCCAAACATACATATTTATATATTTAAGATATTTAACGTACTAAAAAAGGGAAAATCCCTTTATCTGGGTAAGTGAATTAATGTCAATTTAATAAAAGAAAATATCACAATAGCCGTACAGCTTTTTTCTCTCAGTGAGGAAAGCTTCGTAATGTGCTAGACTATAGCCTTAGATACAGTGGCTTACAAAACGTCATGAGGCTATACGCTGTGGCAGTAGATCATTAAAATGATACACCTTTCTACATGTGAAGAGTTAGTCTCCCTATCATGACTATCATCAAAGATGGGATCTAATGCAGGGAGGGGGATGAAACGCTAGCTCCTCAAGGGTAAACATCTCCACAGCAGCTACTGTAGCAACGTGTCGGCAACCACCGAACGTCAAAGGGTTTCCGTGGTGATTTTTATACCTAATATGAAGAAAATCTTACAAGTAGCTTTGAGATGTAATTGGGGCGCTACTGGCTACTGGTGAGATAGGGATGTGGATTACACCAAGGTGTGGAAATATTTATCTTTAAACCCCATAGAGTCGATGTCTGTTCCCCCGCGGAAATCGAATTAGCATAATACAGAAATCCCAATAAAAATCAGTCAGTTTAAGCTAGAGATCTGTTTTATTTGCATTAGATGCGTCTCAATCTACTGTATCCGCTGATGTCGCACTTCTGCATCTGAGGTCAAAGGTGACAGAGCTAGAGCAGTGTTTGTTAGACCATGAGACATCCCGAAAAACTGTCTTCTCACGTCTGTAGCATCCGAACGGTTTGGCCTACAAATTATCATGACCCCTCTAATAAAATATTTGACTCAAACACGTACATGTTGGACACAGGCCTCACAAGACTCCCCCGGTACCAGTTGGAAGGAAGTATATATGGAGACTACACAACATGACCAAAATATGTGGACACCTGCTCGTCGAACATCTCATTCCAAAATCATGGGCATTAATATGGAGTTGGTCCCTGCCTTTGCTGCTATAACAGCCTTCACTCTTCTGGGAAGGCTTTCCACTAGATGTTGGAACATTGCTTCGGGGACTTGCTTCCATTCAGCCACAAGAGCATTAGTGAGGTTGGCCACTGATGTTGGGCGTTCCAATTCACCCCAAAGCTTTTTATACAGGGGCATTGTCATGCTGAAACAGGAAAGGGCCTTCCCCAAACTGTTGCCAAAAAGTTGGAAGCACAGAATCATCAAGAATGTCATTGTAGTGTTACATTTTCCCTTCACTTGAACTAAAGGGCCTAGCCCGAACCATGAAAAACAGCCCCAGACCATTATTCCTTCTCCTCCAAACAGTTGGCACTATGCATTGGGGCAGGAAGCATTCTCCTGGCATCCGCCAAACCCAGATTCATCTGTCGGACTGCCAGATGGTTAAGCGTGATTCATCACTCCAGAGAACGCGTCTCCGCTGCTCCAAAGTCCAATGGCAGCGAGCTTTACACCACTCCAGCCGACGCCTGGTATTGCGCATGGTGATCTTAGGCTTGTGTGCGGCCCCTCGGCCATGGAAACCCATTTCATGAAGCTCCCGACGAACAGTTCTTGTGCTGACGTTGCTTCCAGAGGCAGTTTGGAACTCGGTAGTAAGTGTTGCAAACGAGGAAAGACGATTTTTATGCACATCAGCACTCGGCGGTCCCGTTCTGTGAGCTTGTGTGGCTACCACTTCGCGGCTGAGCTGTTGTGGCTCCTAGACGTTTCCACTTCACAATAACAGCACTCACAGTTGACCGGGGCAGATCTAGCTGGGCAGAAATTTGACAAACTGACTTGTTGGAAAGGTGGCATCCTATGACGGTGCCATGTTGAAAGTTCTTCAGTAAGGCCATTCTACTGCTAATGTTTGTCTATGGAGATTGCATGGCTGTGTG